TGAGTTTGACTTAAATTGGTTTGCATCCCTTGCCAGAATTGGCACCTTCTGCGAGGTGTCAATCTTTGGTTGTCTTCAGTGACCTGCTTGGGATGATGTTACTCCTGGGCATGTGCAGGAGAGCTTTCATTCCTGCACATAGGTGCTTTGAAGCCAACCCAGAGTGGGATTTCCCAGTGAACATGGAACAATTGAGTACTGACGTAATACTTTTTTTATGTGCACTAACATACAATTTTGAGGACAAGCTTTTGGGGAGTGTCCCCTTCTTCAAGGTCCAGGTGAGTATTGCCTGGACCTTGAAGAAGGGGACATTCCCCAAAAGCTTGTCCTCAAAATTGTATGTTAGTGCAAGTAAAAAAAGTATCACGTCAGTACTCATTTGTTTGTCACAAGTGCACTAATACAGCTACAATCACCTCAAGCCAGTGTACATGGAAAATGGAATTTGATCTTCTGGGCCAGTTGAGATACATAATAATACTTCACAAAGTCTGGAAGACCCAGGCCTCCATCTAATTGTCCCCCAGATAGGCTTCATGTACGCAGAGCATTTTTTTCCCTCCCCTGGATGCCTTAACTCCAGAGCAGGAAAAAGCAGAATAAAAAGGTGCTTAAAGGCACATTTTGCAGATGTGTTTAGGTGCCTTTAGCCTCATCTGTCATTCGGGCGTTCATTCCCTTGACCAGAATATTAAATTATCCTGGCCATCAAAATAAATGAATGCTCCAGTGCTTAGTGTTTAGGATTATTTGTACAGGTTTAGGCACATCTAGTGATTTTTCTGCCAAAACGGTCATCAAATTTTGCAAGTGATCTTTTTTTTTTTTTTTTTTACTGCTACTAGAGGCCTATGTGTGCAAGGACCCATAGGCCAACACCTCTAACAGACACTTTCTTAATGCCCTGTGTGCTTGAGGCCATAAAGTGATTCATGCACCTTTGTAAGATCTGTAGATAATTTACTGGTACTGTGACTGGTTGCGCATGGAAAAGGTATACAATTTGGATAATAAGGTCATTTTGACCGTGGTAACCCTACCTAGTTAGAAGATTAGTAAAGGAGCCAACTGTGTCATAAAGATGGTCAGTTTTCTAAGCATAGGTGGGTAATTGGCATGATAAAGGCCATCATACTTTCTAGTCAAGTTAATACCTAGGTACGATAAGTGTTGGGATATCCAGGTGAAGGGAAAAAAAGATGGTAGAGAGAGGAGATCTTGGGAGGGGGAATGAGGGCTCTAGATTTTGACTGATTAACTCCTAAACCTTAGATCTGTGCAGAGAGGTAGAGCATTTGGAGTAACTAGGGAGTGGTGATAAGAGGAGTAATTAGGAATAAAAGGATGTCATCAGTTTTTGGTGATAGCCTATAATCTCTGCTTTTCAAAGAGCAGGGGTGAGAGAGGACAACCCTGTCTCATACCCTTGGAAATCAGGAAGTATTCAGATTTAAATCTGGAGTACTTTAAGTATGCTTGCTGGGGAGGCTATCAGGATGCAATCTACTGTAGGAAATTTGGGTCAGAGCCACAACTTCCCACTACATACTGTAGATAGGGTCAATAGACCAAATCAAATGCTTTCCTAATATCTAGCAATAGGAGAAAGGCAGGGATGTGCATTTTGTGGATAGCCTGCAAAAGTAAGGCTGGTTTTTCACCATTCCTGATGGTGAGGGATAAACCCCACTTGATTTTTTTGGATTAAGGATCTGATGATAGGATTGAGCCGTAATGTAAGGATTTTTGATAACAGCTTGATGTCAATGTTAAAGTGTCGCTAAACACACAACAGTAATATCAATCTGTATATGCAGTAAAGCATGCTTGTTTTACTCACTGTTGAACCTAAGCGGTTAATCCTCTGCATTGTGTAAAAACAGTGTTTGATCCTGACTAATCTGATCCTCCCCTTCTTCCAGTGTCCCCCTCTTATCTCCTGATAAGACATATCGTGTGGAGTCACTCTGCACATGCTCAGTTTGGTGTGTATTGCTAGAGAGGTTTTTTTTTTTTTTTTTCTTTTTCTTGGGAGAGTGCATATGATCAACACAGGGCCAATCAGCACTGTCCAGACAGAGTCCAGGGGTCCTGAATCCTCCTACACTAGAATGAAAGCTACTACAAGCTTTAACATGTACTTGGCTGGACACTGATAGAAGTCCCAAGGTTGCTCTAACTTCTGATGAGTAAAGGTATTTAGCAGTTTATATTTACAAAAATAATGGCATTTCCATGTTCTGTGGGCGACCAGATATAGTGAATGCAGGGTCCTGGGTTTAGTAAGCAATGATATTGGTCTATAATATGAACATGTTGAAATATTTGTGTTGGGTTTTGGTATCATCCTTATTATAGCTGTTAGAGTTTCCTTATTTAAAAAAAATGTGTGGTCTTCTGTAAGCTGCGATACACAAGCTGTAATAAGGGGAACTAAAGTGACCATCATGGTCTGGATGTTTATTAGGGCTCATGTACACTACAGATGATAAACTGATGTTTACGAGCTGTTCAGCATTTTTTTCCAGCAGCCCCTCTCCCGAATGTTTTCCTATGTGTCCATGTGTCCATGTACACTATGTTGTTTATAGGCAGTTGAGTTTGCATTTGTTTTTTTTTTTGAACGCAGAAAACTTGAGTTCAGCAGTAGATTTTATCAGCATTTCAAGCGGCTAAACGCGGCTAACCGTGTTTTATAAGCGTTTGTGTTTGACATTTTTTTTTAACTCTTCCATTTCAAGATGCTGTCCAGAGCCTTTTTTCATCATGAAAAATCCATGCAAATATTCCCAGTACTCAAATGGACATGGCACACCATACTTGGAAGTTTCGCATGAAAGAAAATATGTTAGACACTGCTGCAATAATTTCTGCACAGAAATGAGCTGGAACACATCCAAACACCACAAAATATAAAAAACAGCTAATCTCAACAAATAGTGCTCTCTCTGCTTTTGCTGTCTCTATTTCTCTCAAAATGTCTGAAATAGTTAATTTTTTTTACTGTTTTTCAGTGCATTCTGGGCATTTTGGAAGGACTCCTGAGGTTATCTTTAAAAAACGCTTCTAAACACAAACGCTCATAAACGCGGTATGCAAACGCGGCTGAAAAGATGTTTTTTTTTTTTTTTACCTACGTTTTCCAGCAGTCAGTTTCCATCGTTCAGAAGTGTCCCGTGTACATGGGGCCTTAGGTTTCAATGCTTTGCTTGCCTGTAAAACCTCCTTCATCGTCAGCCACAAAGTTCCTTTTGGTTGCCTGAAAGGGTAGGTAGGGTTAGCCCACTGAAAGAGCTATTAGTCCGCGCCTGGGAAAAGTCACGGTCGGAGTACAATTTAGAGACGTGTTTCCAAAACTCCTGAAGAATTTTGGTTGCTCGTGTAAATGTCTCTAGAGGGTTTTTGGCAAATAGGTTTGTGGAGTTGATTAGCTAAAAGGGAGTAGAGCTTATTGGTGGTAATATAAATTTGGTTCTGTGTGACGTATCACCTTTTCTAGCAACTCCACTAACAAAAAGTTAAGTTTAGACTTTTTTTTTTTTTTTTTTATATTTAATGGGTAGCTGTAATAACTTTGAGACAATTTTTTTTTCATTTTTTACAGCGGATTTGAAACTATTATATATTTATTTTCTTAGAGTATGATCCTGGCTGTTGTCACTGATAACACAGCAGGAAAACCACAAATGAACTTTCCTGCAATATACAATGTGAGTCAGCTTTCCAGTCAGCAGCTACACAGGATCTAAAAACAATTGATGTGTTTAAATGAATAGAAATTCAACTATTCTCTTTTTTTTTTCTGTTTGAAACAAAAACTATTAGTGTCCTTGCAGCTCTCTGTATCTGCCTGGTGCCCACTGGCTAACCACATTTTGGCTATGTGACCTTTATGTATTATGAAATAAAATCCAGATGAATCCAGTGTTCATATATTATTTTTTGCAGTTCATATTCACACATTTACATTCAGGTTGGAATTTAACATCTAGCTTTGAAATGTAGCACAATGTTTTGGGGTTTTTTTTTTCGTTGCATTTATCATGCCACAGTTTAGGGCAGCCCTTTCACTTGAAACAAACACACCAAAGTAACTCCTGCATCTGTTTTAGGCATTGAGCCAAGCGGGTATTAGCGCATATTTTTTTTTTGCTCAACAGATGAGCAAAAAAACCACACAACTGCTACCTGTGTTTGGGGTGCCGTTAAGAAATAATGGTGCTGCAAACACTATGCACATTTCTGCCCGCGTTCTTGAAATTCTCAGGTGTGAAATACAGCCTTACATGTGTCCTCTGTACATCTGTACTGTGAATGAATAAAAAGAAGCGACACAATGATGAGCTTCTCTCTGTCACCTCACTTTCATCTCTGCTTGCTTCTTGTGATGCCTCTCCTCAGTCTGAGCTCTGCTGTACAGTGCGTTGTAAGAGGCTGATACTCTAACAACTTACACCACTTGCAATTACAAAAGTCATGTATAAGTGTGTTAATGAATGCAAGGCTTCACTAAGTGTCTTTTCTGTTACAAAAATGTATATTGAGGTCTACAAGAATTTCAAAAATCCAGGACTTTGGTTGACCTTACCAGCGCCACGTATAGTAACAAAAATAAAATGGCACAGCACCTGGCTAAAGTGGTCGTTAAAGCACAAATCTAAATTTAAAATGTTACTGTAGCTTACCCATTGACGCATATAATGATAGTAGGGGGTAGAATGTGTCATTTATATCGGTTTGATCTTCAGTTTTCAGAAAACTGGGACCTATATGTGGCCCTAGAATTACTAATCATTTGTTCAGCTAAAACAATTCACATATACATTATGTATTTAGATGTGTGCCTGGAGTTAGAATTTAATAGAATACAATGAGCGTGCTTTCCAGTTTTTAAAGCATTTTCCTGAAGTTCATATTACAGCAGATGGAGAGACCATGAGATGAGTAATGCAGGTCTTATAGTTCAGCTTATTCATAAAGCATGTGTTTTTTGTTTAGGTGTGGACCCAGCACTACAGAAAGATAATCGAAACCAAACAGCAACTGGATCACCATCTGGTCCCGCACAGTCCCAGTCATCCTCCAAATACCATAGAGCCAGATCTGGTGGAGCTAGAGATGAACGCTATCGCTCAGGTAAAAATCAGTAATGTGATTTTTTTTTTTCCTCCTCCCCCATCTAACCCATTAATGACACAGCCATCATACGTTCGCTTTCCTGCAAACCGTAAAGACTAAGGGGTATTTTTATGAAAGAAGTGGTCTTTAATGCCCAGCCATCACACGTATAGGTCCATAGCAATGTGAAGTTGCGTGCTGAGACAGCTGTTGGTCAAGGCTTCTGATCGGGAGCCAGCGGGATGGGTTCCCGAACATGTGACTGCCATGAGGGCCAGTCACAGCGGTCAAAGCATACAGAAGCAGTGCCACCTCCTGGGCATTAAAGGGGTTAACCATTCATGTTTGTGAGTCAATGACTCTCATTTAACATATATGCATTTGAAAGATCTACCTGCTGTGAATGTTTTGATGAATATCAGATTCATTGTTTTATAAATATGCCCCTAAATGTGCATTATTGCTAGACGTTGCTTTTAGAACACCTGATTGAGCCTTTATGTGGCTCTGTTGCGGCAGAGCTGTCTGAGGGCTCCTTGACATTTTGGCCTCATTTACATGGCGAGTCCAAACAGGTCCGCCTGTCCGTTTTTGAGGTGAACCTGATCGGATGAGCCATTCACCCCTATAGACAGGTGGGTGTAAAGGGCTTGTTTCTCTTTACTCTCGCCTACCTCCGGGTCCGATCCAGTCCGCTAAAAAAACAGAAGGGAATCATTCCTTTTTCATTTACGTGGGTTGGATCAGTGGTTAGTTGGGTGTAAACTGACAGTGGAATCCGTTTATATCCGGCTGCCTATAGAGCAGTGTGGGCTCTGTGTCTGCTCTGCATAAACTGAGCAGACACTGATTTGTCATCCACCCTACTCTGCTCCAATCAGAACAGGAAACTCGAAAAATTAGAATATCGTGCAAAAGTTCATTTATTTCAGTAGTGCAACTTAAAAGGTGAAACTAATATAGGAGATAGACTCATTACATGCAAAGCAAGATAGTTCAAGCCGTGATTTGTCATAATTGTGATGATTATGGCTTACAGCTCATGAAAAAACCCCCCAAATCCACAATCTCAGAAAATGTAAATATTACATGCAATCAATAAAACAAGGATTGTACATAGAACAATATCGGACCTCTGAAAAGTATAAGCATTCATATGTATTCAGTACTTGGTTTGGGCCCCTTTTGCAGCAATTACTGCCTCAATGCGGTGTGGCATGGAAGCTATCAGCCTGTGGCACTGATGAGGTGTTATGGAAGACGAAGATGCTTCAATAGCGGCCTTCAGCTCTTCTGCATTGTTCGGTCTCATGTCTCTCATTTTTCTCTTGGCAATGCCCCATAGATTCTCTATGGGGTTCAGGTGAGTTTGCTGGCCAATCAAGCACAGTAATCCCACGGTCATTGAACCAGGTTTTGGTGCTTTTGGCAGTGTGGGCAGTTGCCAAGTCCTGCTGGAAAATGAAGTCAGCATCCCCATAAAGCTCATCTGCAAGAAGGAATCTTGAAGTGCTCCAAAGTCTCCTGGTAGACGGCTGCATTGACCCTGGACTTAATGACGCACAGTGGACCAACACCAGTAGATGACACGGCTCCCCAAATCAACACAGACTGTGGAAACTTCACACTGGACTTCAAGCATCTTGCAGTGTGTGCCTCTCCATTCTTCCTCCATACTCTGGGTCCTTGGTTTCCAAATGAGATGTAAAAGTTGCTCTCATCAGAAAAGAGGACTTTGGACCACTGTGCAACAGACCAGGTCTGTTTTCCTTTAACCCAGGTAAGACGCTTCTGACATTGTTTGTTGTTCAGGAGGAATACGACATTTGAAGCCCATGTCCAGGATCCGTCTGCATGGTGGCTCTTGATGCACTGACTCCAGCCTCAGTCCACTCCTTGTGAAAGTCCCCAACACTTTTGAATGGCCTTTTCCTGACAATCCTCTCCAGGCTGCGGTCATCCCTGCTGCTTGTGCACCTTTTTCTTCCACACTTTTCCCTTCCACATAACTTTCTATTAATGTGCTTTGATACAGCACTTTGGGAACATCCAACTTCTTTTGCAATTACATTTTGAGGCTTTCCCTCCTTATGGAGGGTGTCAATGATGGTTTTCTGCACAACTGTCAGGTCAGCAGTCTTTTCCATGATTGTGATTCCTACTGAACCTGACTGTGAGATCATTTAAAGGCTCAGGAACCCTTTGCAGGTGTTATGGCTTAATTAGCTGATTAGAGTGGGACACTTTGAGCCTAGAATATTGCACCTTTTCACAATATTCTAATTTTCTGAGATTGTGGATTTGGGGTTTTCATAAACTGTAAGCCATAATCATCACAATTATGACAAATCACGGCTTGAACTATTTTGCTTTGCATGTAATGAGTCTATCTCATATATTAGTTTCACCTTTTAAGTTGCATTACTGAAATAAATGAACTTTTGCACGATATTCTAATGTTTTGAGTTTCACCTGTAGGGATGTATATGCTGATAAATACCGGTGGCCATATTTGAGGTTATGGTATTCCAGACCAAGGTTTGGATGATTAGTGGCCATCTTTGAATTGAAACTCAGGCTTGGTTAATCCAAGCGGCGGCCATTATTAAATTCATATCAAGGTTAGGTTATTGCAGCGACCATTTTTTGATTTGATCTCATATATTAGTTTCACCTTTTAAGTTGCATTACTGAAATAAATGAACTTTTGCATAATATTCTAATTTTTCGAGCTTCACCTGTATGTGCTGATTGGGACGGAGTCTGCCCCATCTGAAAGGAGCATTACTTACTCTAAAGTGCATGCATTTTTAATATGCATTTTTAAGTGCATTGTTATGGTTTATGTGTTGTGATGCATCTAGAAAAGTTTTCATGTTATGTGGATTTCAGGGTTTTTTTTATATTAAGAGAAAAAAGTGGGAGTTTACTTCATTTTCTTCCTGCTAACCTTCACCTAACCCTTTGGCATACCCTAACACCTATCCTACCTCTCTCTGGGCTTGAAAATAAACTCCTAAAGTGAACCCTTAACACTTATCTCATCCGAAAACCTAATCATTAACCTAAGCATGAAACCTAAAATGGAAGTAAAGGCCAATATATTTTAAGGTTTAAAACTTTGCTTCTCCCTTGCTGATACACATGCTGCAAAATAGCTTCTATACGGTTTTATTTCTGCCTTCCATAAGACCCTATAATAATAGAATGTTGTCCGTACCTTAGAATGGAGACATCTTTAAAGTGTAAAGCCTTTTTTTTTTTTTCTTAGTAAAAATAAATATGTATACATGCATTAAAGCGGAACTTTACTTTCTCAGTCAACATGGACTATTTCTAATCCTTATGCTGCTAGCATTAATACATATATAGGAAAGTATCATATTTACTTGTTTTAACTTCTTTTTGCATTCCTTCATTTACTTCCTGGTTTCCATGCCTAGGCAAATTATGTCATACATCCCAGGAACCCTCAGGAGGGGAGGAAGGGTTCTCAGCTCAACCATTGCCTGAGCTAAGGACAGATGGATTCCAGGAAGTAACTGCTACATGAATTATCTGCCATTACTCAAGATGGCCACAGGCCAGAAATGCCAGGAGGTGTTTTTTTCAAAATGATTTCTCAAAATAAAAAATAAATGATGGAGACATGGATGGATGGAAGAGTTTGTTTTGAATATTAAAAATGAATTTTATAGAATTTTTGGTTTGTGGTACTCAGATGCAGTGCAGTTCCATTTTAAGGTAAAAAAAAATGTTTTGACTTTAGAACTACTTTATGGGGTTTCTTTTCTTTCCTCCCACCAACACAAACCTTTGTGGTTGACTGCATCCAAAACAGCTTTTGGCTTCTGAGGAAGGATCTCTGTTGCCTGTCATTTTAGCGCAGTTATTTTTTAACTTCACATATATGATATTAAGATTTGTTACATTCTGATTTTGGTATAATATTGTTAAACATGAAATGAATGTAAATATATTTCCTTGCAGATATTCATACAGAAGCAGTCCAAGCTGCACTGGCAAAACATAAGGAACAGAAGATGGCGCTGCCCATGCCAACCAAAAGGCGCTCAACTTTTGTGCAGTCTCCAGCAGACGCATGTACACCTCCAGGTATGTAATTCTTGTGCAATATTTTTTAAATCTGTTATCCGTTTACCACCATTATGGTCTTTGTGCCATTTAGGTTTCGTTCACAACAGGGTGCAGAGAAGTGCATTTTTCTGTACGCGTTCTTCAGGAGCACAAAGAAAACCAATGTTCTCTATGTACCCTGTTCACACCAAAACATTATCACATGCAGATTCTTTCTGTACAGGAATCTGCAACATGTATAAAACTCTCTGAAATGCACATGAAAACTGGTGTAAACTCGTGCCTCTGCAAGTGAAATCTAAGAGTTTTTTTTTTATCCGTTTTTCTGCACATATGGTGTGGATGAGCCCTGGAAGCTGAGTTCCACTCAAAAGCGGAAGCTCCACTTATTTGCTTCCCCCCCCCCCCCCCACTGCCATATTTGGCACCTTTTGGGGGGGGAGCGGACACCTGTTTTTTACCTGTTTTCGGTCCCCTCCTCCCTCACAGGTCCCAGGAGACTGCCGGACCAATTAGGAGGCACAGCGAGACTTGCGCATTCGCAGTGGGCACCCGGCTGTGAAGCCACAAGCTGTCACAGCCTGGTGCCCACAGTTGAGATACCGGCCCCGTGGAGGGGAGAAGGGGCCGCGTGGGTGAGAACATCGCTGGACCCTGGGACAGGTAAATGTGTGTTTATTAAAAGTCAGCAGATACAGTTTTTTTTTTGGGGGGGGGTAGGGATTCCCCTGTTATTTTTGTCTTGATGGCTAGGGATGAGCTTAGGCATGTCCAAACCCACCTGAGCTATCCCACCTGAGCTATCCCACCTGGAAGCTATGAAAGTGGACAGCCAATCATAGACAGAGGGGTCATGTCCCCCCACAGCAGCACATATACAAGGGGTGTGTATACATTCAACTACAAGTCATGTAGTGTCTCTGCTTTCTATGATTGCCAGTCTCCTTTGATAGTTTTCTGGTGGGATATCTCAGGCGGGTTCAAACTCATGTCCAAACACACCCAAGCTCATCACTGCTGTTGACCACTGTCTTCAGGACTGAAAGTGATGTGAAATCCAAAATTTTGAGTTGTCACTAGAAGAGGAAATTAGCTGAAATTCTCAAATGGGGAAATTTGTACTTATGGCAATACTCTGAGGGGATTTCCTGACTCTTCAGCTATCTTCATAGGACAGAGCTAATTTTCCAGGGCTTGAGAGCTGCTCTCCAAGACTTAGACTGGGTGAGGATATTGGCATCGATGAACACAACACAGAAATGGGAGTTCTTCAAAAAGACTGTATGTGAACACACTGCAAAATATATTCCCATGGGCAACAAGTTTAAAAGGCTAAAAATCAAACCTATGTGGCTTACGGCCAAAGTTAAAACAAAAACTATAAATAATAAGAAAAGAACTTTTATTAAATATAAAAATGAACCACATAGATGAGTTCTTACTGGAAAAAAAAATATTTTAAGCAACAGACAGCATGGATTCATGAAAAACAGAAGTGGTCAAACAAATCTAATTTCTTTTCATGAGGAAGTGAGCAAAACTTAGGACAGAGGGGTGGCGGTGGACGTGGTATACTTGGATTTTGACACAGTTCCCCACACTCGGCTAATGTGTAAGGTAAAGTCTACGGGCTTGAAAAAAATCTGTATGTAAATGGATAGAAAACTGGCTAAAAGATCATATTCAGAGAGTAGTGGTTAATGATTCATACTCTGAATGGTCCAGGGTTTTCAGTGGTGTACCCCAAGATTCAGTGTTGGGACCCTTACTTTTTAGAACAGTATATTTATAAACGATATAGGATCTGGGATTAAAAATACCATTTCAGTCTTTGCAGATGACACCAACTTTTTTTTTTTTTGGTTGAACCGGATGGACTTTTGTCTTTTTTTTCAGCCGAACTAACTATATAACTATATGTAACTATGTAAGGAGGGGAAGGTAAATCTTCCCAATGAGACAAAGATGGCAAAAATAACTGAAAAGAAGTACTCTATTGAAAATGAAAAAAATGGCTTTGGATATACTTTAACGCATACATAGTTTACCCGATGAAGGTTTCCAAAGGTCTGTGCTATCTTATACTGCCACCCAGATGCAGTTTCTCCTGAATGTTGAATGCTGACTACTTCTTACTTCTTTATATTTCTCCAGCATTAGAACAATCACAGTGGCATGGTTTGTAAGGTAACATCTAATTTAATCTATGAACACTAGAGGATACTGAAAGCAATTTGTGAACTGGACAGGGGGGTTTTGACCCACATATTTTGTACCACTATGAATTTAGGCATTCTTATTCCAAACATAGCTGCTTTACACTGAAACAAAATGTTCATGATTTAGTATGAACATGGTACTGTTTTTTGAGCAATCATTTGTTTTAATACTCAGCTGAAACTGTTTTTTTTTTTATTCATTTTAGCCACAGCCTAGAATACTTATTAATTTGTCTTTTGGCAAAGATATTAGTCTAGGTCTGTGTTCAAATCTAAATCAATTCTAAAAATGTAGCAGACTGGGTAACTTACATGCTTGTCTATTGACATCTGCAATGCATATGATTTTCCTAGGCCGTCAGCCATAGACAGAGCAGTCACATTATTTTCCATATTATATCAAAAAGTAGACCTACAGGTGTGCTCAAACGTTTGCATACCATGGCAGAAATCATGAAATTTTGGCATTGATATTGAAATATAACTGAGCATGCCAAAAAACTGCTTTTTATTTAAGGAATAGTGATCATAGGAAATCATTTATTATCACATATTTGTTTGGCTCCTTTTTGAATGATAACAGAAATCACCCAAATGGCTCTAATCAAAAGTTTACATACCCTGGAATGTTTGGCCTTTGTACAGACACACAAGGTGACAAACACACAGGTCAAAATGTCAATTAAAGGTTAATTTTCCACATCTGTTGCTTTTTAAATTACAATTAGTGTCTGTATATAAATAGTCAATGAGTTTGTTAGCTCTCACATGGATGCACTGAGCAGGCTAGATACTGAGCCATGGGGATCAGAAAATAACTGCCAAAAGACCTGCGTAACAAGGTAATGGAACTTTATAAAGATTGAAAAGGATTTAAAAAGTTATCCAAAGCCTTGAATATACTAGTCCTTTGATTATTTCTGCAGTTAACTAACTGGCTGCCTATGTGGGAGGTACAGGCAGACAGTGTACTGAGAGTCTGCAGGATCTTGGCATTGCACCTGCGATCGGCTGCAATGCTTTACAGGTTCCAGTGTAAAAAAAATAAATAATAAATTCACGCTTTTTTTTTTACCTGCAAAAATATGTGTATCATTTATTTATTTTTACAAAAGGTGAACTTCTCCTAGGGGGTTGACTACCTTAAATGAAATCTGTATTAAGTTTATGATGGAGATGCCATCACTCTCACAAGCTCTATGCTATTTCCTGGGCTGCAACTCCAGTCTTTGTCATCACAGCTAGTGAAGTTACAATCTTGGACGTAGTATACAGCTTGAAAGTCAAACAATGGCATCTTCCAGCACAGATAAATGTTTAGCTTAATTTTCCCTGTTAAAACAAATGAACGTTAGCTTACCTGCAACCAAAGAGCAATGCATTAGCGTCAGTAATGGCTCCTTGCCTTAAAGCTGGCATCAGACCTCTGCATTGGGGTGTTTCTGCTTTTTTTTATTCCTTTGGTTGGGTGTTTTGTCCTATTTTGATGTGCACTTTCATTCTCATCAAAAGCTCCTATAAAGTGCTTTGGCATATCAAAAACAAACATGAACCTTTTTAAGCAAAGCACTACCTAGATGGGAACTTGCACCGATCCCCCCAAAAAACCCCTGTGCATTAATGTGCATTATAAATGGTGTAAACAGGCCTATTGGAAGTAGTATACATAGAAGGTAATCACAGACATATCAAAAGATTTGATGTAGAAGGCTATCCTCTTCAGCAGCATGTGACCCTTCAATCCTTAGTCTCCTTGTACCACTGTTTCTGGTATACGTTACGCAGCTTTTCTTCTGGCCTTCCCTCCAGCATGTACTGTAGACAATGCAAGTTCCCATCTTTCCATATAATTATATTTTCATACTTGTATTACTTACAATAGTTGGACCTCTCCCTTGGTGTACAAGTTATAGATTGGCATAGTACGTTTTTCTTTCTCGTTACTTTTATTACCAAAAGACATGTACATGCGATTCAATACACAATGGTAAGAATGCATTTTATGTTTGGTCTATAAAGTGCCATGTTTGAGCCCTTTAACAAGAATCAACAGATCTGTATCTAAAACAATATAAAAAAAAAATATATTTTACTTGACTTGCTGGATTAGTTTTTGTTAATTCCATTCCATTATGGGTGCATATATATTATATTGTCATGCCCTGTTTACATGTCTTTTTAGTTGTATGTTTTTTTTTTCCTCTTACTTTTGTTATTTGTAGTCTCAATAAAGATACAAATTAATAAAGAATTAAATAAAAACACTGTACTCATGTGCTTTAGCCTGAATAGAAGCAGTGTGTAAATCAACCTTTGCAATACCTTCTGTAAACTTTCTGTACGCACTGAATTTATACATATGTAATCTGATATCTGCAAGACCTTAAAATATAGAAAAACAGAAATAGAAAAAAATGTGCAATTTTTCTTCAGTGTTTTTAGCTCTGTGGGCTCTTTAAGGTAACAGCTGCTGCATTAATCTTGTGATTGGTTTGCTTTTAGACAGTTTCGTATTCCCTTTGGCTCAGTGGAGGCTTGGCTGAGTTGAAGATTTCTTTTCAGGCCTCCTGACAATTCAAAGCATAGATAAGTGGTGGCACAGTGCGTTTACAGTACACACAAAACTTGAATTAATACAGTGAAGAAAACAATGTATTAAATGTTGTGAGTTTTATAAACTTCTAACACCTTACCTCTTTTTTAGCTGTATGATCAGATTCAGAACCATGGTGTGGATGCAAATTGTGTCATTTCACTAGTAGCAATATTTTTTTTTAAGTGTACTTGGATCCCCTACAGCTTTAGTATGGGTTTTGCTCAAACACAAGTACAGGCCGTCCTTGGGTTACGAACAAGATAGATTCTGTAGGTTTGTTTTTATGTTTACTTTGTATGTAAGCTGGAATGGGTATGTTTTTTAAGTGTAACTCCAGCCAAAACTTATTTTTAAAATTTAGATAGCATAGGGAAGGGCTAATTGGCCATGCAGTGATGTGGGAATGCTGACTGGTCCGCCGGACAGTAGGTGGCAGCAGCAAGATGACTACCCGGCTGTTTCCGGGACCAGCGTGATGGCACTCTGTCTCCATTCTTAAGTATGAGTCATATGAAAGTCAGATGTTTGTAACTCGGAGACTGCCTGTAGAAGAATAATATGTTGAACGATTCCTTCAGGCAGTGGGGTTATCATAGAAAATTGCCATTTTTTGAAAATAAAGTACTTATTTTCATTTTCTTTTTTTTCATCCTGTGTTGAATTTCAGTACTGCTAATCTCTTGCAGCCACTCCCATCTACAGGTATGCACTCCATCGCAGTAGTGCACAGCATTTCTTTGGGCAGGATATCTAATGGGGACAACAGTGGACTCTGTCTGAATAATGTGTGTTAAAACTGCTTCTTGTAGTTTCTTCAGAAACCTGTGTAACATATTGAATACAGAGGAGAATAACAGAGAGAAAGGTACAGTGTTGTCACACTATAACAGGAGGTGCCTGATCATGGGCCTTCATGGCAGGTTCCTCAGGTATTATTTTAATAAAATGGGGAAGAATTAAAAATATTAAAAGCGACTTTTGAGATTAAATTAAGGGTCCATTTACCTTTCTCCATGCTGTTGTAGTATGTGCTTTAATGAATGGCACTGTAACATGTGTTGCTGTGACGTGCATTTTCCTAGGGCTACCTGTTATGCATTCAAATTAATGGGCCCTTGGTGACTTGGTTTAGATATACTTTAAGTCCAATTTACACACAGTTGTCTTTAGGTAATGCAGTTACATACACACTTTCATTAGGATGACTTTAGTTTTTAAGGGGTTTTCTGCTTTATTTAGATTTTTTTTCCTTTTTAGAATCATTATTTGGGTTATTTTACTTTACAAAGTGAATGTTTCTTGGGAATTTTTCTTATGATATATTTTTTCCTCCAATATCAAAATGCTTATTCCTAGTGACTCTTTATCTTATAGACACTTCGTCAGCCTCTGAGGATGAAGGTTCACTTAGACGCCAGGCCGCTTTGTCTGCAGTGCTTGCTCAAAGTTTACAAAACACAGAATCCTGGATTAACAAGTCTGTGCAGGGATCATCAACATCATCCTCAGCCTCATCTACCTTGTCACATGGAGATGTGAAGAGTACCAGCAGCTCTCTTGCTGATATGTTATCCAATACACACATCGGTATGTATCATAACGCAATGGTGACACATCAGGAATTATGGTAGCAACATGAAACCATGGGTTCTCTATGCTTTGCCTATGAACCCTTGATATTACTTACTGTCTTGTTCTTCCCCACCGGTTCCATGATCCCAGTGTCATTCTGATTGTGGTTAGCTTCTAATTAGAGATTTTGTATGAAAAAGCCTCTAGCACAAGTGACACCCCTGCTTGGACATGGGTATCTGACACAACACGCCTTTCCCTTTACGGTTTGATCTCTTACTAAGAATGTGTTATGTGCTGGAGTTTGTAAGACTTCTTCATAATGGACGTTGTGTAAACTCTCATTATACATTTATGTGCAATATTGTGCTCAGTAATAGATAAGCACTTTGGGAAATACATACATATTGGAAAATGGTGGCTGTTACTCTTGTTATAGTATACAAAGAGGAATGTTAAAAGCTAAAAGTAATGATGCTTTTATTCACTGTTGTCCTATATGGTGTATACAGTGGGGCAAAAAAGTATTTAGTCAGCCACCAATTGTGCAAGTTCTCCCACTTAAAAAGATGAGAGAGGCCTGTAATTGGCATCATAGGTAGACCTCAACTATGAGAGACAAAATGAGAAAAAAAATACAGACAATCACATTGGCTGATTTGGAAAGAATTTATTTGCAAATTATGGTGGAAAATAAGTATTTGGTCAATATCAAAAGTTCATCTCAATACTTTGTTATATATCCTTTGTTGGCAATGACAGAGGTCAAACGTTTCCTGTAAGTCTTCACAAGGTTGGCACACACTGTTGCTGGTATGTTGGCCCATTCCTCCATGCAGATCTCCTCTAGAGCAGTGATGTTTTGGGGCTGTCGCTGGGCAACACGGACTTTCAACTCCCTCCAAAGGTTTTCTATGGGGTTGAGATCTGGAGACTGGCTAGGCCACTCCAGGACCTTGAAATGCTTCTTACGAAGCCACTCCTTCGTTGCCCGGGCGGTATGTTTGGGATCATTGTCATGTTGGAAGACCCAGCCACGTTTCATCTTCAATGCCCTTGCTGATGGAAGGAGGTTTGCACTCAAAATCTCACGATACATGGCCCCATTCATTCTGTCCTGTACACGGATCAGTCGTCCTGGTCCCTTTGCGGAGAAACAGCCCCAAAGCATGATGTTGCCACCCTCATACTTCACAGTAGGTATGGTGTTCTTTGGATGCAACTCAGCATTCTCTCTCATTCAGTCTTCCCAGTCTGGTGCAGGCCTATAATTTTGTTTCTGGTGTCCTTCGACAGCTCTTTGGTCTTCACCATAGTGGAGTGTGACTGTTTTGAGGTTGTGGACAGGTGTCTTTTATACTGATAACAAGTTCAAACAGGTGCCATTGATACAGGTAATGAGTGCAGGACAGAGGAGCCTCTTAAAGAAGAAGGTACAGGTCTGTGAGAGCCAGAAATCTTGCTTGTTTGTAGGTGACCAAATACTTATTTTCCACCATAATTTGCAAATAAATTCTTTCCAGATCAGCCAATGTGATTGTCTGGATTTGTTTTCTCATTTTGTCTCTCATAGTTGAGGTCTACCTATGATGCCAATTACAGGCCTCTCTCATCTTTTTAAGTGGGAGAACTTGCGCAATTGGTGGCTGACTAAATACTTTTATGCCCCACTGTATATGTGGATGAAAAAAAACACAAGCAAATGCTAAACATTATTTCTTTTTTTAGTCAGTTAAAAATGAAATAATGTATATATATTTTTTATATTTAACACATTCAGCGAACACCTGGAGCCCTGTAGTCTGTTGACTGCAGTCGTTATTTATATCTTTCTAGCATATGTCCTGCTGAAGCAAGGACATTCTATAGATCTTTACTTCTATACTGTAATTCTATCTCTAGCTGTTCAACTTTATTCAGAAAGCACACACAGCTGTATGAGTTAGACGAGTGACACATTTCCTCCCCGTATTTAAGTCATATGGCTCTTTATGAAGTCCCAGTTAGATGAACACAATCCACAGGTAAGCAGAAATTGCTTAACTGTATTATAGAAAAACTGAGTATACTCTGAGTAGTGTCATGAAAGCATATCCTGCAGTACATGTTTATTTTCTTAAATTAAGAGTATAAACAAGTAACGTAACAAAAAAAAAGGTTATATTTCTAAAAAAAAAAAACAGAGTACTCCATTGTTTTGTTTTAATTGTTCATTGTATTTAGGGGCCTTTTCACATGGGGCAGAATCCACTTTTCTCAGTGGGGGATCTGTCCTCTGATCCCCCGCGGAGCAGAGCAGATAGGGTGGGTGACAGGACCATGCTTAATTGCCTGCTAGTTAAAAACGGACCAGGTGTCTGTTTACACCTGACTGCCTTCCGATCCGATCTACTAGACAGAAGGGGAATGAATCCTCTTCTGTTTTTTTTTATTGAATTGAAGGTAGATGGGTGTAAACATGCAAAAGTCAATTTACACCCGTGGGTCCATAGAGATACATGGATCATCCGATCAGGTCCATCTGAAAAACTGACAGGTGGACCTCATTGGATAATCTGTTTGAAAGGTATCTAAAGTGGTATTAAAACCCTCAGTGGTTTTTTTTTAGCTTACCATATTGAGCACAATAAAATAAAACATTCACTTGTAAAGTATTTGTTAAAATTCCTACCCCATCACTTTCAGCTAACAACTTTCAATGCTTCTGGCTCCTGCTCTCTGTGCTGCTTCCCTGAACATCTGGTCCTTGCAGGAAAGAGTTAACAGTGGACAATGCAGTCTCAAGCTAGTCTGTGAGCAGGGTAGTGCCATGCCTTCCTAGACTACAGAGCTGTGTGTTTCTATTGATGCACACAGTGTAGAAAGATACAAATCTATCCTTGCATGCAAAGGCGACTCCATAGGATGCTTCAAGAGAAAGGAGCTATCCTAAAGCAAGAAACCTGGAGCAGCGATCATAGCACCAGCTTAAATATAAAACCGCTGGAACATAGACAAGGATTAAAAGATAACGTAATGCTCAGTAAGTGATTAAAGCAGCTGCTGAAAGTGTTTAAAAAAGGGAGGATTTAATATCACTTTAAATGGTGAAATGTAAAGGAGGTTTCCACTTTCACTCTGTTTAGAACTTTGAAAGTCTACAGTTTTCGAAATCTGCAGAAGCATTATGTTATGCTATCTGTATACACAGGCAGCTCGCCAGTAACAGGATTGCATGGGTCGCTGGCCAGTTGAGCAAAGCATCACTCCTTTGCTGATAGAAATGGTAAAAAAAATGTCACTCAGCAGCAAAGGAACAACTTCTCACTCACTCATCCACCAAAGATCTTGCATATCAATTTTCTCACTGGTGAATTTTCGCCTATGACAGGATCACAAGCAACCGTAGGCAGCTTAGCAGATAACCTGCGACCAATGCTCTCACATTCTTTTCAGATCCAAAGTCAGAGAAGGATTTCATACTGGGTATATCATTTCAGGATTCCACATCCTGTCATTCATGACATCTTATCAGGGTGGGGAGTCCCTACTTTCCTTAGAGAATATTAGAGTAAGGCTTCCTAAACAGAAGTCGGGGGGATGGCTCTATATTGGGGAACACAGGCTTGGGGGTACGATTTATTGACTGCTAAAAATGGCTAAATTATAGGGCAAAAGATCGGTAATTTAAATATTTAAATAAATTTCTCTCATGTGGCTCACCACTATGAGGCCCATAATCTGAAATGGGGTGCCTCAAGACTGTCCATAATTTTAAAAGGGCATCCTTTCTAACATGTGAAAAACTATTCTAATAGTTTTATATAACGCAGCAACATCCACACACGTTGGACATTCAAATACACTTTTGCACACTCGTACTGAGTAGTATTTCAGTGTTTCTCTTGTCCCTCAGTTTTTCTCCATCACTGAGCTAATGTGACCCCAGCACTGATAGAGAGGGGCAGGGGAGGGTCAAATTAGGATGTTGTGCAGGCAGCTGACATCTTCCTCATCAGCTAATGATGTCATTGGTTGCCACGATGCCAGTGGCTAGAAGGTCATAATGGTGCACAATGAAAACTTGTGGCTTTCTGTAACTAAAAGGCAGGTTTTTTCCAACCATTGGCTTGTACAAGTTTTAGGCAATTTTTAAACATTTTGCCAAGGCACCCCTGAAGAAACCTCAAGGAACCCTAGTGTGCCTGGGCACCCTGGTTGAGAAAGGCTGATGTAATGTTTAAAAAGACAATTTATTCTTGAAAAAATTATAAATATATTTATAATAAAATTTAAAAAGACCTGGTTTGCAGAGTTTAGATTTGCAGATAGGGATGTGATACAATTGTATGCATGACAGACTCCCTTGTCATAGACAGACAGCTTCATACAGTCTACCTGTTGTCTGCTGTCACTAAGACGTTTAGTAGCAGCAGCATGCTTTTTGTATCACCTGTCATGATTGGGTTTTAAAAAACAAAAAAATAGAGCATTAATAGTAATACAACAGCAGATCACTACTATAAGGGGTTAATTTATACTTTTGTAAAAGTGAAAGTAGTAGTAATATATAAAACTTATATCATATATATAATATATACAGACGTAGGATATACAGAGTATCTAACTGGGAGTCATACATGAAGCTATATGAAGGGTGAATATAAATCTTTTTATAATAAAGTAGTACTAAAGGCTTAGATTTTTTTGCATGGATATGATCATTTTAAATATAATGCACAATACTGGTAAACTTTTACTTTAAATTTAATTGTAATGCCTTAATTTACCTCCAGTATATCATCCTCCAGCTCCTCTTGGGTTCAGATGCTGGTCTTCCCTGCATAGAGCCCTTAAAGTGATTTGTAAACATTTAATTTTCTTTCATGTTTAAATAACAAGAATGTCATACTTACCTGCTCTGTGCAATGGTTTTGCATAGAGTATCCTCAATTCTCTTCTGAGTTCCCCTGCCAATGCTTCTGAATCTTCCTGCCTTCAGAGTGCCGCTATAGCAAAGTAAAAAACTTCTGCCTTTAGAATCACTTTAAATCACTTCCTTCCTGCCCTGGACTACATGTCCAACAAGACATTGCTCCTCACACATTCACATTCAGTTCTCAGGCACTTACTGACTTGTATGGATGGTGTACTGATCTGTATGTGCGCTGCACTGTGTATACTGACATGCATGAATGGTGTACTCAGCTTTGTGTGCTGCTCTGTATTTTCTGATTTGTAAACGAATAATGCATTCTGTATACAGGCCAAATAATTGGCTGACCAACTAGTCAATAAAAATAGTTGACAATTTTCATAATCTATTATGTTGATTCATTTTTTCAGCCCTACTGAAATGCATCTCAATTTATTTGAAAATGAGGGCTGCATTTTTCCTGCAGTGAAATGCTCAGGACATGTGTGTTGCAGTGCATTTGTGTGTTTACGATGCATAAGTAGTGCCGTTCACAATGAATGTAGCTCAATAGATTTGCGGAGAACTTGACCAGAAACAGAGGTCTCAGGTGTAACCATTTGAAATTGTATACATAGAAACCACGTATCCTTTACAAGGCACTGTGCAAATAAGGTCCTACACTCATCTATGAAGTTTCCAGCTCTGGGATGTATAAGTCAAGAACAGAATTTAAACTTACCTAGAATTAATTTCGTTATGCTCAGTATTTCTGTATCTATTTGAAGTAAAAGTAATAGAGACAGTCAAATGTTGCAGCCTGTTCTGGAGTTTATCAATGTTTATTTTTCTAGGAACCGGAATAACAAATCGGACATGCTTACTATGTATAGTATACTATGGTGCCATTATAATTGCTTTTAAAAACAGACACATGGCAATGAAAAAAAAAAAATACGTAGAACTTGTACAATTTTAATTGTTATGTCTAAGTATGTTGTGCAGAAAACTTCACCCAAAATACCCAGATGGTTTATGGTTTCTTTTGCCCTTTCAGCTAGCGTAGGTATATTGATTTGTGGTTTTATAATTTGTTTGCAGAAAGCTCCCTGGCTCCTCCTGATGTCACAAGCACCACAAATACCACAAACACAACTACATCCTCCTCTTCTTCCTCATCCTTGTCCTCTGTACGCCCAGCAAATATTGACCTAGCTACCGCTGGGCCGGTTAAAGGAATGCACAAAGCAGGGCGAAGGTCTAGCCTGATGGACACTGCAGATGGTAAGAGGTTTTCTCTTTTGGGCACTATATTCTATCCAGAGTTCATCCTTGAACATACTAGCATCAGATGAAACCCATCTGCCTAGAGAGCACTAATTATAGTGGGGGCTATGGAATAATATTGGGGCATGTATCCCAAAACATAGGGATGCTAAAAAAAAAAAAAAAAAAAATGCTTATGGGCAAGTAAATCTTAACTGCATCTAGTGTTGCCTAGTAAGGGCACAGCATAACTCCATGAGGGGCATTACAAGAATGTGCTAGGTGAAGACTGCTTTTCATTGACTGCTGCAGCGTCAGTATTTAGAATCTGGTCATATCAGTGCCATAGTTGAATTAGTGTATGGATAAATGAAATTGATCTAGAAAATGCTTTATTTTTAATACGAAAATCATTATTGTCATTGTGAATAATACTAGGGCAGTATGTTTTGTAAGGAGCACATATACTGTGGATGTCATAATGTAGCTGATAGATTACAATCAAGGTGATTAGAAGACCGTATTCATAAAATTGGGCCCTACCCAGTACGATTTGACGGAAATGGGCATGAACAATCAGATTCTTGGACAATCCTCCTTTTACTTGGAGCAATCCGACCATTTGACAATCCTCCTTTCATGTGGAACAATCAGACCCTTGGGCAATCTTCATTTCACCTGGAACAATCAGACCCTTGGATAATTCTCATTTTACTTGGATCAATCAGAAGCTTGGACAATCCTTTATTTATCTTGAACTGTCAGATCCTCTGAAAATGTTCTTTTTCCGCAGATATGCACATCCCCTCTTTTGTGTATATTGGGCAGCAGTGAGGTTATTTGAGTAATTTTTACTCATGCCAGTGAAGATGAATAAAGGGCAAGTAGAAAAATTCCCACATGCCAGATCTTTAGAGGTGGTCTTCCAATATAATTGCACATCATTCACTGGCAAACTATCACATGATCTATAATACTGTGCAGAAGTATCTGGCTGTATGGTGATTTTAAGGGACAAAATAAAAGGAGATGATAGCAGTACAGAAGGCAAGAGCGTGTTTTTTTGTACTGCTGCATCAGCCTCTTGCTCTGTGAGGCAATTCAGGAAATTTTAAACAACCATCTCATTCTTAAAGTGATACTAAACCTAAATACTTTATGTTTTTTATCTTAAGACATTGCTTGCAGCAAGGTAAAAATTTTTTTAAGTTCCCTGTACTCCCCCTTCCCTGTATGAAGGGAAAGATGGGGGAGAAGAGATCAACGCTGTGCATGGCTGCATCTCCTCTCCCCTCGGTTACTCTTCACACAGGGACTCGAACAGCAGCAGGAGCCATTGGCTCTGCTGCTGTCAATCAAATGCGGTGAAGAGGAAGTGAGGGGGGCGGCGGGGCTGAGTCCCGCTGTGTGTGTCTATGGAGCGTGGCTCCGTAGACACACAGGTTGGGAACAAGCATGCAGCGTTTGTCCCCATAGCAAATGGCTTGCTATGGGGACACACAAAGAAGAGGAAGAGCCAGGATCACCAGTGGGGGACCTGGGAAGAGGAGGATCGGGGCCACTCTGTGCAATGCCACTGCACAGAGCAGGTGAGTATAACAGGTTTGTTATTTAATTTGAAAAAAAAATTGCCTTTGTTAACACTTTAAGTTCATTCTTGTCTTATTTAGTTGAGTGTGGGGAAAAAAGGGATAAAGAAAACCGTTTTCTCTGAGCAACACAGGCAGTTCTGTTGGACACTTGTATAAATGAGGCCTGGCATTACCTCCCTGTTTCAAATTTATCATATATCTCTGTTGTTAGCCTTGTATCTGACTTTGCAGTTAACTGTGCTACTTTATTTACTCATGATAGGCATATTGAAACAAATTTAACATCACTACTCTTTTGCTATTGCAGGTGTTGCTGTCAGCAGTCGCGTGTCCACAAAAATCCAACAGTTACTTAATACATTAAAGCGACCAAAAAGACCACCTTTAAAAGAGTTTTTTGTGGATGACTTTGAAGAGATCGTTGAAGGTAACTTCAGTCTCTGATATAGAATGCCTGACTACAGCATTTTGTTTTGTCGAATGCATTTAGAATGCTGAAATGTATTCATCTTTGAATCTATCTTTTTAACAGTTCCCAGACCAGACCCCAACCAACCCAAACCAGAGGGTCGCCAGATGACTCCAGTGAAGGGAGAGCCTCTTGGTGTGGTGTGTAATTGGCCTCCATCCATTGAAGCTGCCTTGCAACGGTGGGGCACAACGCAAGCTAAATGTTCCTGTCTCACAGCTCTGGATGTGACGGGGAAACCTGTCTATACGTTAACATATGGTAAGAAAACCATGCATATTTAAATGTAAACAATAAGGATTAATCATCTTTTTTTTTTTTTTTTTGTGGTTTTGTTTTTAAATTGTATTTCTGTTTTTATTATAGGTATACAAACGTTGTTTTATAATAAACATTTGGGACATGACAAAGGATTTCCAAAGCACTATGTTAGCTAAAAAAACTATATAACAGCTGTCTCACATTTCAACTTGGGACTGAATGCTCTGAAAAGAGATGACTCATTGGTCTGGCTTCAGTTATGTGAGCAAACTTCACTTAGCCTTGGTTTGCATCAATGCGGTTTCCCTGCAGCTGCTTTGCTGTGCTCAGTAGCCCGTTAATTTGGAGGGGCTGCTATATCCACTGAAAATGCAGGGAAATGGTCCCTGCACCTTTTTAGAAAACGTGGCCACAGGGAAACCGCATAGTGTAGTGCAGTTTCCAGTGCGTGGGGGTGCCATTAAGACTATTGGTACCCCCACGAATCTCCTAAGCGGAAGTACGTTTTTCTGTGCGGGAGGTTGGTTGCGGCTGTGGGAACAGGTGCAGTCCTGCAGTAGCAACCACCCCCAAAAGTGTGAGCTTCGTCTTATTGATTTCTTTTCCCAGCAAACCCCAGAGCTCTGCTGTCTGGGTATATGACCACAGCATATTTACATGCAATATTTCATATTTACCAAATACAAAAAGGAAAACTATTTTCAAAATTATTATAAGTCCGGACTAAGTATAACATTTAATATAAACAAAACCATTGTACAGTGCCACACGTAATCAGAGCTAATGACACCAACGAGAAATGTTTTAAACGTAATTTCCTAAATCCTCTTCCAGGACAGCTACTTGAGAGATGATTGGCTCTGCCTTTAACAGGAAACATAAACCAGAAAGAGATTTAAAAGGCCCCTCCCTTTCCCTCATTTTCAGTTATTTTGTGTTTCTGACTATCCAGGAGTACACTTCATCATGTTTGTTTTATTTGCCTTGGCTCTGATAATTGTAGTTGTCAGCCCTCCTCAGATGACTAGTGCCTGGTATGCCTGTGTTCCTGGTCAAGCTGCTTACTGGAGGGTTGTGCTGTACATTGATGATTGATTGATCTAACTTCAGCAGCCCATTGCCTTTTTGGTCTGTTCTTTTTCATGCAGTAGTGGTGTTGTTGGTCATCGATTTGCTTGTGAGGTTTATTGCATTTTTCTGCCAGTATAACCCTCTGGGCAGGTCCACTGTATGTAGGCCAAGGAGGGCCAAGATGGCACTGGCTCTAAAAAAATGTGCTGTTTATCACAGATTGCTGTGGATGAACACAACATTAAAGACTCCTGGAGACTCACGGACTGAACACTGGGTGATTTGTAGGCATATTGTTTTGGATTTGTAGTTTCTAATTTTTATGTCACAGCTGCACATTTGAATGTATGTCTGATTTCACCAGATTATCATGTAATAGGATATTATTGTAGCAGAAGTGCTGATTAATTATGTTTTCACATTCATTTTTTTCCATGTTTTTTTATTTTAAAATATATATATTCATATTAGGTTTGATTTGCAGTGAGGAGTAGGGGCTGGTTTGGTTTGTAGTATACATTGTTCGGATTTATTTTAACAAGGACCTGTGTCCCATGTGAAATCTCAGCTCTTCCTCCTGATGGCCTGGAGACTAAGAAGAGGATTCTCGAAAAAGGAGGTTGTTTAGAAAGAGGGATTACCACTATTCTCATTAGTTGTAAAAGTAATACCAGGAAACTCTCCACTAATGTTTGGAAAAAAGTTTTTATTCCTGCCAAAAACAAAATTGTCATACACTCATTTTCATTTCCTACAGTTCTGCATTTACCACAAGAGGCAGTTAAAAATGGTTTGTTGCTCAGTATCCTAAAGGTGGTCACCCTTTTAGGTTTTCGTGAAATTAGATTGACAAAGAACTATTCAACTTTTAGCCTTATATAGCGATCCCATCTAGAACTCAGTGCCTCCTAGAGTACCATGGCCTGATGTTTTAGAGATAAAATTATTTCAGCTTTCTTAAAGTCTGGCCAGTTACTACCTGCTAGAATTAGAGTTTATTCATCAAGGTCAATGGCCACATCAGGAGCAAAAAGGGCAGGTGCTTTGTGGGAAGAAATCTCTAAAACTGCGGTATGGTCCTACCATTTGGAAATGTTGTCCAACCAGGACTAGTCATTTGGAAGGAATATTTTGCAAGCTAATGCACCCCGACCCCCCATGGTATGTTTGTTTATCCTGTCATGTAGCCATCCTGGAAGATAATTTGTGAAAACCTCGGTTGACTTTTAACGGTATTTCTGAAAATCTTCAAGGGCAGCGTCCATATTCCCACCCAGATATATTTGCTTTAAAGTGATGGTGTTTGAAATTGTTGCATTTTACGTAAAAATTTCCCTTTTGGACATTGGTAAAGGGTCTTTAGTTACAACAACTGAGTATGAGTGGGAGGGAGGGACTTTCTAATTTGTGTTTCCTGTTGAAAGTGGAGCCAATCATCTGTCAAGTAGCTGTCCTGGAAGATTCATGGAAATACCATTACCAATAAGTGTAACCATGGTTTTATGTCTGTAAAAAGAGAAAAATAGGTGCAGCGCTAGAATCAAAATACAAATAATTCTCTATAGGGTAAATGTACATGTGAATGTCAGTAGTCAAAAAGATGTGACACAATGGTAAACAGTGCGTTAATCAATAAAAAATGTTGAAGCACACATAAAGTCCTCGTCCCAGATTAATGGTTGTAGAGAGGTGAAAAAATCCTAGGAGCAGATAGAGTGCGCACTCACCAGAGGTGCGTTAAAATAACACATGTAGAGAAATGTAATCTGCAAGATCTCTCCAGCATCAGAGCTCTGGTCAGATCGTACTGCGTCCTATCCTCTGTCTCACCGCAAAGAGCAATGACCAGGGTTCATCCAACCGTGTGGGCGTCAAAGAACTCCTTAGTCCAGATAGGCACTGTGGGAGATGGTGCTCTCAAAGAGAGCCCAATAAAGGACGCCACATAGTGTGATGCTGTTTGACTCAGGTTTAATGGTCAAAAAGGTGAAATAACAAAAATTACTGACCATAGAATGTTGGCCACATAAAGTGGCTAGATGTCCATAAGCTGTAGCCCCCCCCTGACGCGTTTCGTGCGATGCACGTCCTCAGAGGGTCAGGGCTTACAGCAGGACATCCTTCCTCATCTATTTATACAAAGAAATGGCAATCGCGCTAGTCGCGGCGGCCATTTTGCCGGCGTCTCGCGCATGCGCAGTTGATCGGCGCCATTTTGCCGTAGATCGTTAAGGGGAAATACACTTATTCTCCAAGTGTCCATTAGAATTATATAGAGTATACCAGGCAGGCGCCATGATGTAGGTGGGGAAAACAAAGTCTTTTAAAAACATCGATCGAACTGCTGACAAAAATAAACTACTGACAAAAATAAACCTTAATAATATTACTAAAAGGAGCATTATGCTGTCCAGTGACATTGGTTTCATACCAGGAAAAGCATATCCACATGGGACTGGGTAATTTACTGCAATATATTCAAATAATATATATATGTATATATAAATGCATGTTGCAGAATTTATATAATATAAAATTGGGGGAGATTGCTCCATTATTTTGCTTTACGTTATAATATAAATGTCAATAGTTAATCAGTGACTACTCACTGATAACTCAGCAAAAAGGTTTAATAAATATTAAATATTAATTGAAAAATCATGATAGTAAAAGGTTATAAGAATAAATGGTTATAAAATAGTTATGCGATAGCCATTTCTGCTGTGATAAATAGATGTAGGTAATATCAATACATTTAAAATTTAATATATTTTATTAAGTATATATTTAAAAATAGGTCAGTACGGTATAATATATTTTCATATGGTCAGGAAAAAAACACTCATAAATTTCAATAATGATACATAAGAATAGTACGTTATAAAACTACCTAAAAAGCATATATAAAATAGAATTCACAATGACAAATTGTGTTGGTGTTGATAAAAATAGGGTATTGTCAACCACATCTATTAATACAGGGCAAAAAAATCAGGGCAAAAATATCAATAGTTTCAGGGCAATGTAAACGCACATTAACTGTCATCAATAAAGCAATTCAAGTCAAATTCAATATTGAGACCTTTTGGATATAAGGATCCAAGGTCATATATCCACTTAGACTCTAATTGTGAGATAGCTCTTTTTTTATTTTGGCCTCTCCAATGTGCGTTTATCATTCCTATACCCCTGAATATTTATGACGATGGATCTTGGTTGTGATGCGTTTTATAGTGCAGGGATAATGAGTGATCCTTATAGCCCTTTCTGATATTATTCACGTGTTCTTTTAAACGATCCCTCAACCGTCTAGTTGTTCGTCCAATATATTGTAAATGACAGGGGCATTGTATTGGATCCTTATATCCAAAAGGTCTCAATATTGAATTTGACTTGAATTGCTTTATTGATGACAGTTAATGTGCGTTTACATTGCCCTGAAACTATTGATATTTTTGCCCTGATTTTTTTGCCCTGTATTAATAGATGTGGTTGACAATACCCTATTTTTATCAACACCAACACAATTTGTCATTGTGAATTCTATTTTATATATGCTTTTTAGGTAGTTTTATAACGTACTATTCTTATGTATCATTATTGAAATTTATGAGTGTTTTTTTCCTGACCATATGAAATATATTATACCGTACTGACCTATTTTTAAATATATACTTAATAAAATATATTAAATTTTAAATGTATTGATATTACCTACACCTATTTATCACAGCAGAAATGGCTATCGCATAACTATTTTATAACCATTTATTCTTATAACCTTTTACTATCATGATTTTTCAATTAATATTTAATATTTATTAAACCTTTTTGCTGAGTTATCAGTGAGTAGTCACTGATTAACTATTGACATTTATATTATAACGTAAAGCAAAATAATGGAGCAATCTCCCCCAATTTTATATTATATAAATTCTGCAACATGCATTTATATATACATATATATATATTATTTGAATATATTGCAGTAAATTACCCAGTCCCATGTGGATATGCTTTTCCTGGTATGAAACCAATGTCACTGGACAGCATAATGCTCCTTTTAGTAATATTATTAAGGTTTATTTTTGTCAGTAGTTTATTTTTGTCAGCAGTTCGATCGATGTTTTTAAAAGACTTTGTTTTCCCCACCTACATCATGGCGCCTGCCTGGTATACTCTATATAATTCTAATGGACACTTGGAGAATAAGTGTATTTCCCCTTAACGATCTACGGCAAAATGGCGCCGATCAACTGCGCATGCGCGAGACGCCGGCAAAATGGCCGCCGCGACTAGCGCGATTGCCATTTCTTTGTATAAATAGATGAGGAAGGATGTCCTGCTGTAAGCCCTGACCCTCTGAGGACGTGCATCGCACGAAACGCGTCAGGGGGGGGCTACAGCTTATGGACATCTAGCCACTTTATGTGGCCAACATTCTATGGTCAGTAATTTTTGTTATTTCACCTTTTTGACCATTAAACCTGAGTCAAACAGCATCACACTATGTGGCGTCCTTTATTGGGCTCTCTTTGAGAGCACCATCTCCCACAGTGCCTATCTGGACTAAGGAGTTCTTTGACGCCCACACGGTTGGATGAACCCTGGTCATTGCTCTTTGCGGTGAGACAGAGGATAGGACGCAGTACGATCTGACCAGAGCTCTGATGCTGGAGAGATCTTGCAGATTACATTTCTCTACATGCGTTATTTTAACGCACCTCTGGTGAGTGCGCACTCTATCTGCTCCTAGGATTTTTTCACCTCTCTACAACCATTAATCTGGGACGAGGACTTTATGTGTGCTTCAACATTTTTTATTGATTAACGCACTGTTTACCATTGTGTCACATCTTTTTGACTACTGACATTCACATGTACATTTACCCTATAGAGAATTATTTGTATTTTGATTCTAGCGCTGCACCTATTTTTCTCTTTTTACTGATTATTGTAAGGTGGGTTGGTTGCCTTTTTTGGTGTTCTAGCTGCTTGTGCATTTTTGTCTGTAGCGCTCGCTATACCTTTTTTACATGGTTTTATGTCTGTTGCAAAAGTGCATATGTAGTAAGGATAAAGAGACTTGAGGAGAGTGGAGTGTTCAGTATAGAAATTATTGATCTTGATCTGATTGCCCCCTGAATGTTGTCATTAATTAGGGGAGGAAAGGACGCTTGCTTTATAGCCAAGAAAGCTGCCATTTTAACCTCTGTTTAATCTGTAGTTACAATGGTGCTGCACATGTAAATAGTTATAACAGTTCAATTGAGACCTAACATAACTAACTGTAATAGTTATCATTCACAGCATGTTTTGAATTTGGTTTGGGAGACCATTAAATCGGGTTTAGTTCCACTTTAAAAGAATATGCCAAGAAATAGAATTATTATTATACAGGATTTATATAGCGCCACCAGTTTGCTCAGCGCTTTACAATATAAAGGGAGACAATACAGCAACAATACAGTTCAATACAAGAGGGCTAGGAGGCCCTGCTCCTTGGAGCTTACAGTCTAAGAGGGAGGGGCTGGTGGTACAAAAGGTAATAACTGTGGGGGATGAACTGATAGGAGGAATAGAAAATTCTGTTATTAGCTGAAGGCAGGATAAGCTTCCCTGAAGAGAGAAGTTTTCAGAGATCGCCTAAAAGTGGGCAGAGTAGGCGATAGTCTGATAGATTGGGGTAGAGAGTTCCAGAGGATGGGGGAGGCTCTGGAGAAGTCCTGTTGACTAGTATGGGAGGAGGAGACAAGGGAGCTAGAGAGCAGGAGGCCATGCGAGGAGAGAGGATGGTTTCAGTGATATTTGGATACAAGATTGGTGATTTAATTGGGGACAAAGTTATAAATGGTTTTATATGTTATTGTAAATGTTTTGAATTTTATTCGTTGGGCAATGGGAAGCCAGTGGATGAATTGGCAGAGAGGGATGGCAGATATGGGACCGTTAGTAAGGTGGATGAGTCTGGCAGCAGCATTCATGATAGACTGAAGAAGGGATAGCCTGTGATAAGGTAGGCTAATGGGGAGGGAATTACAATAGTCAAGGCGGGAGATAACCAGAGAGTGAATACGTTTCTTATTATTTTCAGAGGCTAAGAAGGGGCGTATCTTGGAGATATTGCAGAGGTGAAGTCTACAACATTTGGATAGTGATTAGATTTGGGGCTGAAAAGACAGATGGGAGTCTAGGATTACACCTAGTACCCTGGCATGAGGGAAGGGACTGATGGTTGTATTATTGATCTTGATGGAGAAGTCAGAGGAGGGGGCACGGGATGGAGGGAATCTAAGAGCTCAGGTTTGGAAAGATTGAGTTTGAGGAAGTGGAGTGACATCCATGCCGATATGTCACTTAGTAGGTTAGTAATGCGAGAGGATATTGAAGGTGTGAGGTGAGGGGTAGAAAGATAGATTTGTGTGTCATCAGCATAGAGATGGTACTTAAAGCCATATGGGTTTATCAAGTGACCAAGGGAGGAGGTGTAGATGGAGAAGAGAAGGGGTCCAAGGACAGAACCTTGAGGGACCCCTACAGAAAGAGAAAGTGGAAAGGATTAGAAATCACAATAGAATTTATAGCAGAACTGAATGGTTGGTGTTGTCTGAAAGAAATACAGTTCTTCTGTTAGTCGTATTCTGTGACAATACAGGGCTCACATTTTTATCCATAAGATATATATATGCAATCTGACTTTTTATTTTAATTCTGTTGCATCTTGTTGAATCCTGGATGAAGCTATCACTGTTGAAAAGCCATGAATGACTGCACTGTTTGATTAGCTGATAGTGTTATGATTACATTTCGATTATGCTTCTGCAATACCAGCTGAAATGAAAGTTACTATTGTGTAAATTTATACTTCCGTAACAGCTATCACAGCTGAATAAATAGAAGATCAAATGTACAATTTAGGCCAGTTATATTTTAAGTTTTCCTGTTTTGTAAATCACTTTTTAAAAAAAATTGAAATAGAGGGTGTGAGGTGAGGTTAGTGTTATAATTTACTTGGTCATCTTCTGTACTGGATTTTTATAGTCCTGCAGCATGCAGCCTTGGATCCAGAACTTCTCTTGCTCAGACTATTTTCAGTGTTATTGAAAATGAAGAAGAATGACAAGTCTGGGGAAAAGAAATGTACCTGAAAATGAGTGGAGCTTTAAAATGTCAGATCAGTGCCTGGGAGCAGAGTCAAATTTCTACCTGCCCCCACCCCAATCAAAAGCCTTGGGCAGTTAATTGGAGTTCTCATTTATTGTGCCATCTTAAACTTACTTGAAAGTTTTTAATAAAGTGAGAAATCGTTAAAATGTTTAGCCTCTTTTTTGTGTTTAATCCCAACTAGGAGATTTTTCACCACTTTTTGTTCCTTGATGCCCTTACAAGAGATAAAGTTGTTACCAGGACAAGAAAACGCAGATAATATGTGCAGAGAAAGATTGGAGAGACTTCTATTTATTTCCTGTCTTGGTATAAAGTGAGGGTAAATCTGTCCAGTAGAGATACAGGTAGTGATAAAAAGCTGACAAAGGCTGTCAATGTTTTTGAGCTTGAACAGTAAGTGTTACATTTCTTGTGTTTCAGGCAAACTTTGGACCAGAAGTGTGAGGTTGGCATACACGCTACTTAACAAACTGGGAACCAAAAACGAACAAGGGCTGAAACCAGGCGACAGGGTAATGTCATGTTTTAGTTTGCTAATATACATGTTTGTTTTCTTTGTTCATAGTTTTTTTTCAATTCTTTCTTGATTTTTACATACCTTGGCTTATTGTAGTAACAACCAGCAAAGATCTTACTTGTATTCTAGAGAGAATGATGTAGCTATAGTTACATTTATCATCCACGTTGCTTACTGCCTATGATGTGGTTTATGTTAACAGTGTTCTGATTAAGGCCACATAAACATGAAGGATGGGAGCTAATTGTAGACAAAACTTTTTTTTTTCTGATTTGAGCAAGGAATTTCCCAGCCCATCAGTATATCACTCAGGTGCACTACACTCCTTCCTCCATAGACAAAATATCAGTGTTTGCCTGTTTCCCCATTTATTGCAGTCTTCAAAGAATTATAACCTGAATACAAGTGGTTATAGACCAATGACCCTCCCTTCCCTCCATAGAATATATAGGATACAGTTTGTTCAAAATGTATGAAGAAAGACTTTTTTATGTTTTATAACAGAATGTGAGGGGAACTCCCCCCCCACAAACTTTTTGTCTGTCTTAGACAGCGCCCAGTCTTGTTTACAATCAGGAATGCTTGATTGTATGATCACTGTGACAGCTAATCTCAGTGATCACATGATCAGGAAGCCCACCTCCTCCTGCCAGTATTAAAGGATAAGTTCACCTTTTTACAAAAAATAATAAATGCACGTTTTTTTTACTGGTAAAAAATATGTATTTATTATTTTTTTTTTATTTCTGGAGCCTCTAAATCATTGCACCAGCGATCTGCAGGTCTTCTGCAGACATGTCGTCATATCTGCTTGCCCGTACGGGATGTACAAACAAGCAGATATACTGACCAGAAGAGTCAATGAACTACCACAGTGCTCCACAGCACCATAGTATTTCATTGAGAACTACAAGCTGACAGTCGCAAAGGCTATCGGGACTTGTAGTTCATTCATTCACAGAACACTCTGAATGAATGATGTGACCACGTGGGCGGAGCTAGCTGTCACAACACGGAGTGGGGGCTGGTCCGTTTTGGTCTGTTCGTAACATGTTACATGTTGCACCCTGAATATGGGTCTAACATATTACGAAAGGTGAACTTATCCTTTAAGACCCTTCGAAAGTGCTGCCAGGTGGCAGCAAGGAGTTAAATGCCACCAAAGAAAGCTTTATATGACTCCAAAAGCAGACGTACTATCAAAGCACTTGAAAACTCCGAAATGGACTGGAAGGATAGGGGGTGAAACATGCTAGTATTAAGGTGGTTTAGCTTTAAAAGCTGCCATCACTGACCCAGGCCCATGTAAATATTGGTCTGTTTACATTCAGCTTGTCTGTGTCTGTAGACAAGGATTGAGAACAAAGTGCCTGCTATGCATACTTATTTATTTCAAGGTCTCCACTGCCAAGAGCCCCAGCTGACAGCTTCTGTGCTGCAGTGCACTTATGAAAACACTAGGGATAAACTGCTAGTAGACGGCAGTCCCTGAAATTTTTCAGCTACAGTGCACAATTGGGAACAAAGAATGGGATCAGAATCCCTCTAAATGTATGCAAGGGCTGTCTGCTTCTAGCAGTTTATGATCTATTGCTCCCATATTTAAACAAGTGCATTGATCTCATTATTTATCACTCCTGGCAGTGAAGACATCGAAATAGACAATCATGTTGACAAATGTATTTGCTGTTCTCACTACTTATCTGCAGTTATAATGTAGACACAGACAAACTGAACATAACCAGTGCAATGCTTACACTAGTATGGACCATAGAATACAGTTCTCAAAGTACATGAAATAAAATTCATATGTTTAAAGTTGTTTGGTGTCCCTGGATATTAGAAGAACTGATGTGTTGTAAAAGTACAGTTCTCTTATAAGGCACCTGTTAGATGAGTAAAAGGTTTAAAGTTGGAGAATCTATTTAAAGCAGTATCAAACCCAAATCCAAAACTGTAATATATTGCAGCTTACCAATCATTAGATGTGGTGGCTGCTTTAGTTTTAACTTTCTTTTGGCTTTTTTCCCCTTTGTTTTCACCTGGTGATCTGGCCAGTAACACACATCCTGTATTAGAGTGCCCCTACTCTGAAGGAGCACAGGAGGCTGATTTGGTCAGCAGCATTGTCAGTCTGGGGGACAGGACTGTTAAATGTACTAGCAGATTAGACTTATGCCCTGTACACACGATAAGAAAATCGTACGAAAAATTTAGTGGAACTACTGATCGAACGATTTTCTCTTTGTTGATGAGCAGGATGTTTTAACTGATAACGATATTGTGAACAAAAAAATATGGTTGAACAACAGTGAAAAATGTAGTCGTTTTGCATACGAACGACCGATTTCTATGCGGTGGTGGTATGACGGTCGTATGAAAAAAATCTATCAAGCGCTAACACGCATGAGTGGAAACAGAAGATGGCTCGGATGTTTATGTCCAAGGAATCTTCGTAAACACAAACAAATAATCCAAATGTTAAAAGTAGATTGTCCTAATGAGATAATGAAACCAGAATTATGCATATTCTATTTTTATGTATCACTATTTATGTATATAGAGGTAATGTAATAAATTATATTATACTCATTGCTGTTAATTGTGTATATCGCTCGTTCTGGCCGGAAGGGCGTGGCTACAAGGTCACACGCACACTGCATCACTTCCACTTGTACTTGTCAACACTATGTATTGCCCGACGAACAATTTTTTTAGATTGGTTAATGTGGGCCACGATTTCGACCAACGAACGAACACCTCTCGATTGTCGGATGACCGATCGGTCAATTTTCTAATCGTGTATTCCCACCTTTAGATTTACACTAACAAATTAAAGCCAAACTCTGACTAAGACTTTATAAGCTGTTACAGCAAATCGTTCTCTTTTTGGAAAAAAGGTTTTACATAAAAGCTGATCCTAATAGGTAGCCCTATCAGTAGTGAGTGGTTAGGTCTCAACCCTCTAACAGCAAGAGAGCTTGTTCTTTTGAAAAACTACATACTTACTGGCCAGATCACCCAGTGAAAATAGAAGAAAGATAGCCTAAAAAGAAAACTAATGCAGCCATCACATCTAAGAACTAGTAAGCTGCAGTATAATAACTGTTTGCTTTTGGGTTTAATACCATTTTAAAGAATTGGATTACTCGGTTGCTATCATGTTATATCTGCATCAATTAATAAGGTATGTCTGTTACTGAACAAAATAAAATTGGTGGGCTTATGCTGTACAAATGATGGTGGTAGTGCACTTGATGGTTTCTCATCCAGCTACTGACTTGTGTTGAGTAGATCTATTTCTGAAGCAAGTGCAAGTTGTTTCTTGCTCTCTTTGATGTTTCATGATTGCTTGTCTTAACTGCAAGGAAAGTATTTTTGTCGGTTGGGATATAGCAAAGAACAAGTTGCGTATTGTTCAAGCAGCAACTTGGAGAGAAGAGATATATAAAGTGGCCTTGGGATTTGTAGATAAACTTTTCTAATTGCTACATAGTGGTCACAATTGGTCAAATCTCAATTTTTAAAAAAAAAAATTTTTTAATAATTGAAGTTGTTTTACTTTTGTTTTTTTTTAAGCTGGCCATAGATGACTTTTTATTCAATTAGGGAATCCTCAAAGCTGTGCTATTGTATTTTGACAACAGGGACTCCTCCACTGTCAGAATATGTTGATCAACAAAAAATGTTACCAACAGTCCTGTTTGAGCGGAGTTGATCATCAGATTGACTTAGGAATGGCCAAGGATGGATTGAAAATTCAGCTTCTCCTTGTTGAGCAGGCTGAATTTCAATCCATCTATGACTAGTGTTTAATAATGTAGCCTTTAAAGAGATAAATCAGTTAGCATTACTGTGAGCTGAGGGTACTTTCTGGTGACAACAGAGAAAAGATCGTATTTTTTGATAATGGAATATCTTTGGTTGCTCACAGGAGAGCTTTTGTTAATTAATGCTGTGACTAGTCTTGAGTTCAGAAGATCATTATTGCCAACACTAAACCAAGCAAAACATATAAGGGCATCATTTTAGAACTGCGTATTTAAATGAAAAATGTATGTTTTTCTTTGTTACTCAAGTGATGACAGAGTTATCGCAGAATCAGTAGGCTCACAGCAGAAATGTAGAACTGCCCTGGTCATAAGAGGTATACGGGTGGAAGAATTGAACTGGTTAAAGTCAATCTATTCTTTCTTTGTAGTGAATTTGTCGCACACAATACAGCATTCAGGCTTTTGTCTAAAATCTGCGTTTTATAAAAAAAACTAATGAAATGTAATACGAAAAAGAAAATGGAAGGTAACATTTCTTGAGGTATATTTACAGTGGAAATGAATGTTAAACTACAGAGGACAGAACAGAATGAAGTATATCTTGTAATTAGTGGCTGTGTTGGACACACAACTACTAGGCAGTTAGAGAGTGTTTTAATCTGGGCTCAAATTAAAGGGACAGAGCTTCAGCTTGCCTAACTACTTATTATTATTATACAGTATTTATATAGCGCCAAAAGGTTTGCTCAGCGCTGTACATTATAGTGGGGGGACAGAACATGAGACAGTACAGTAACAAAACAAAACATGAGGTGTTCGAGGGCCCTGCTCCTTTCGAGCTTACAATCTAGGAGGGAGGGGATGGTGGTACAGGAGGAAGTGGCTGTGGGGGATGGAGTGGTAGGAGGAGTGGAGGAGATCGGCTGTTAGGTAAGGGTGGGGTAGGCTTCCCTGAAGAGATGGGTTTTCAGGGTGTGCCTAAAGGTGAGGAGGGTAGGTGACAGTCTGATGGATTGGGGTAGTGAGTTCCAGAGGATGGGGGAAGTCCTGCAGTCGGGCGTGGGGAGGTGGAGACCAGGGAGCTAGAAAGCTATTAAATGATCTGTTTCTTACAAGTGCTGCATGGCAAAATTTTAAATCTTTCTGTATACAAATGACAGTTCTTTGTCACCTGCATTTTTATCCAGTCCTCAGATGTGGATACTGTGGTTCACACTTATGC